AATTTAAGGGTAAAAAAATGAGATGGGATGGCTCCTTCACATTAACTTTTAATCTTGCTCAAGTTTCAAGGCATTGAAGATTAAATAATCAATCCTTGGACTTCATTTCACCATTCAACCACATGCCTCTCTTTCTCTTCATTCTGTCTCTGGTTTCCTTTTCTCTCTTGCAATGAGATCTCATTTTCTGTAGATAAATACACAAATAAATACACAAATATATATATATATATATACACACACACACACAAATATGTATATACCTACATAAGGAAACTTCAAGGAAGACATAATGAAGATGAAAACATTAAAGAGGTATCTTTGGGTGGCATATAGTGGGACAATGATTTTCCCTGCTCCCCACTGGACATCTACTGTGACATGAAGAGTGGAATGAACCTCAGGCACAGTGTTATCAAGATAAAAGTGCCTGAAAACCCAACTGTCTGTACAGACAAGTGCAGGATTCACCAAACTCACAAAAATGATTCAAGCCTGCTCAAAACAACTAGAAGCTTACTATGTACTAAGAATGAAATGCTCCGGGTTAAAATAACTGAAATAAACAAGGAAAACAATTTACCTTCAAGTTCCCATTAATTATTCGTCCACTCCTCCCAGTTCCCTCCCAACTCCATGCAAACCCAGCAGTCACTTCTGAGACTATTAGAGGTGATTCCACACTGGGAGGAGAAAGCCCACACCATTTCATGCTACTCAGGGGAGAGGTGGAACATGAAAGTGGTCGACAGTGCAGGCACTGGGATGGAGAATGCAGACGCTGAGCTTCACTGGGACTGGCTTCCCTCACAAACAGCTCGTCATTCACTATACAAAGACTGGAGGAAAAATGCACATGTGGACAATTTATGGATGGACCACCTGCACCCCAATCCTGACTGCTAACACTAACACTCAGCAACCGGATCCCTTCCATACCCTCCTGTATCTGTACCCAGGCTCCTTGACTGGTTCCTCTGCCCCTCACACAGAGCTCACCTTCAAAGAGATTTTCTACCAGCTTCACTCAATGAACAGTCTGATCCCCAACCCAGAGACAACTTCACATTTACCCTGAACAGTAACCCAGTACACAGCAGTACAGGGGTGTACAGTCTGATCCCCATTTTCAGAAGAAGACAGAGTCACAGACAGATCATGTGACTTGACCAAGGTCACACAGAGAGTGAGCATTGGGTCAAGGAGAGAACCCACGTGCTGATTCCAGAGCCCATGCTCTTCCTAACCACTAGGCTAGACTGGTCCTTGGATCTCCCTGCTGGCTTTCCACAATACTGAGTCAGCCTAAAATCTGCATCACCACATGCCCAGGGCCCTGAGCCCAGGCTGGATGGGCCATCCCACCCACAACATGGCTCTCACCTGGAAGAGCTGATGGGAGTAGTGATGAAGGTCCTGGTGAAGGCATGCACACAGCCCTGAGAACTTCCTTCCACTTCAACAACAAACAACAAACAATAAGCAAGAGTACCCCTTAGAGCCCCATGTGTTTACAGGCTCCCACATCATTCCCGAGTCAGGGTCTGACTTGACACTCATGCTGAGGGGACAGCTGTTCACTTGGGGAGCCTGAGTGTCAGGAATGGGGAGGGCAACTGTAGGAGATGTCTGCTCCCAGTAACATGTCCCCATGACAACCACTTCACAAGCTCATGGGATGCATTTTTCTCCATTGCCAGAGATGGATATTATGAGGAAACTGTGAGGTTAAATAATAGCCCAGGTTCTGTGTAAGGATCTGGTATGGCAGCCACCAAACTCCACAGGCTGTGTCCCTAATGCCCAGGGTGGGCAGGGCAGACATGGACGCAGTTAAGACCTGGGTTGTCTGTGGGAAGACTGAGGGCTGGCAGGGGTGGGGGGAGGGTGTGGAGGGGAAGGGGAGAATCTGAAAGGAAGAGTTCTGATGGGAGGGAGCCTGACCAGGTGAGAAAGCAGTACGGCATCTAGAGGGAGCGGGCTGCACATACTCACCTTCCTTGAACACCCCACTGACAGAGAAACAGAGCATGGTTTCCTAATAGGCAAGAGACCAGGTACTCAGTCACCCCTCATCCTCTTCCCCACCAGTGGCTTCCTACCTCCCACTACCAAGGGAGGAGCAGGTACTCACCGTCTGGAAACACATGTCCACCATGAAGGAGCTGAAGTCATGCTGAGTTTTGGGCAATGCACAGAGGGCATGCACAATGTCATGTTTTGTGTGTTTCAGCATCTGGACACGCAGGTCTGTGGGGGAGGGGAAGAAAGGGAAGGTCAGGGCAGCCACACCATGGATGTTATGATTGCCCCCCTCACAGCACTTCCCACCTAGCTTTCCCACCACACACTCACTGGGGTCCTTGAGCTTCTCTGTACTCCTGTTGTCCTTGAAGTACAGGCGCATGCTGCTTCTAGGAGACACAGAGGAAGCTTGGGTGGTAGTCCAGCCATCATAGGTGTCAGCAGGAGCTGGCCTGCATCTGCTGGGGAACCATACAGCCTGGGGGAGGAGTCTGGGCTGTGATACTCACAATCCTGAGTCCTTGGGGTGGAATGGAATCGTCAGGAAGAAGCAGGCCTCCTCGTGATAAAAATCCAGGAGTCCCTGGCGATCTCCATAGTCATGAATCAAGTAATACCTGAGGGAAGCAGTGAGTACAATCTATCTCTCTGGTCTGGAGTTTGGGTCACCCTTTCCTAGACCTCCCCTTGTTCAGATTCCCAGGGGTACTTACTCCTGCAGGAATTGCAGGATTTGACTGTTCACCTGATCAAATCCAAAGAAACTTCCCTGGAATCAAAACAGTCCTCAGGACAAGGGCTGACACACCCTCACGTACCACCTAGGACCCTGCTGGATCCAATGTGCTCACCTTGCACATTGATAAGAACTTGGGAGCTTCAATAGCACACTTAGAACCTGAGAGTGTCTCCTGGCCATCCTGAATGAGGGAAGAGGAAGTCAGCGGTGCAGTCCAGGATGTGGTGTTGGATGATCAGGGAAAAGGATGGGCCCAGGATGGGGTGGGGGTCTGAGGTCAGAGGAGAAAGGGTCCTGGAAATGCCAGTGGCAGGACTACATTTTCAATTATCTTTATGGTTTCCCCAAAGCCTGTGGCGTACAAGGCTGAAGAAGATCCAGAGCTTTTTCAGATTCTCACAGAGAATGGTACACCTCCCTCCCACAGGTCATTTAAGGCTCAGGTTCAAATATAGAATGTGGACAGTTCCTAACATGTTTCAGAGTAGTTTGAGGGCACTGTCAATGCTATTTAGTGGAGTCTGTGATCAAGGAATGCACTTACCAAGCTTAGTAACCTAGGGAACAATTCCAGGATGGTGTTGCCAAAATCAAGACAAAAGAGAAAAAGTCAGTGAAACTGTGGAGATGACCCTCCTCATTGGAGCAAGTCACTCACAGCAATCACAGCCCTGTGTGCCCCCCACAGAACCCAGTATCTTAGCATTCCAGGGCCCTGGTCACCACTCCATGGACTGACCTAGAGGGAGACTGTTCCCTCCACTCCTTTCTACCACTCCCTCCTCCATCTCCTTTCTCCTGGGTAGCTCCCAGCCAGACTGTCCTGACTCCCTTCTCCAGTGCCACAAGGACCAACACTTCAAATTCAGTCTGCCAGGCCTGCCTTCCCTCCCTTCCTTCCTTCCTCATGGGCCCACTGAAGGCTATGGAGAGAACAGGGAATGGGGGGAGAGCCCAGTGCTTTGCTATATCACAGGTTGTCCGACACTGTCAAGTCAGGACAAACCTCAGGGATGACCAGGTGTTATGTTAGGGAGGTGAGCAAGGTGGGGCTCAGGAGGTAGGGAGAGGGAGTGGAGGGAGGAGGGGAGAGATGAGAAAGAAATAGGGATGCAGAGACAAGGCAGAGAGTGACCTTATGTTGGTTGACTTATCAGGGAAGTTGGTGCACACAGCATTTCTGTCTGCACATATCCCTTCTGGTTCCAGCTGCTGACCCTTGTCCATCTGCCCTTCAGCCTTCACCTGGAATTATCGGTAAAACCCACATCTACCAGATATCTCTTCATCCATATCCTTCCTTTCCCTACAAATCCACTTCCCCTCATCTGTTACCACCCCATGAACCCTCCTACCTTCCTTTCAAGGGAGGATCTGGGTGCCCCACCTCACCTCAGTGTTGGAGATGTTCAAGTTCTGGGCATTGGAAGCATTCCCCATAATGGTGGACAGGCCATCTAGCAGGTAGGGTTTCTTGTTGCTCAGGTCCAAGGATGAAAACTATGATGAGGAAAGGGAGTGAGAACCCCAAAGGGAATACCTGAGACATATCTGCCTCTTCTACCTAATCTCTCCCTCCCTCACCATTGGTCCCAACATTGGGCCTAGGTCCTCACCATGGGCCTGATCCCTGGAAGGATGTGCAGGGAAATAACCATGCCATTTCTACAGTTCTGTGTCATTCCAATATCACAGGTCATCAAGTCTCCAGGAAGCCAGGACAAGGGATACAAAGGCTGAGAGGGTCCCAGATGGTACACCTCCAGCACCAACCCCTCCCCATGATATCATCTTTGAGTGCTCTACCCAGACAGACCCTCTACCCTCACCTGCCCTACAATTACTACTGTAGCCATACCAGGGCCAAAGCGGAGTCTCTGGATGTCAAGAGATTGCTGGCAGGCATCCTATGGTTTGTTCATGGTCAGCTGCAGAGTTAGGGATGGGGTTCAGTGGCTCTGAGTCTGGGGGTGAGCGGAGGGGAGCAGTGGGTCTGGCTGTGAGTGCACAGTTTATGCTTAGTCTGCATTACCTTTATCTGCTCCACCTTTTCAGACGTCAGCACCTTCTGCACAGACTGGGGTGACTCACAGGGTTCAACCAAGATAAATATCTGTAGAGAACACAAGAGGGTCTGGGTAAGCTCCAGGAAATCTGTGCATGGGATCAAGCAAGACCATGCCCCTCCCTTGCCCTCTTGTCCCTAGTCAGGCCTGATAACGCCCTTGACACACACCTTTTCATTAACCTCATTGAAAATCTTGCCATTGATATTCTTCAATGCACAGGCAATGTTGGCATTCTCTACAAAGAACTGGGCCTGCATTTTCTCATAGTGAAACTGTAGGGAGAGTGACAGGAGAAACAGAATATGAGACCAGTGCCATTTCCTTTCTGGGCCTGCCACTTACCCCATTTCGTCTCATCATCTCCATGTCCTGTATTACTTCGAATGCAGTGAAGGGGACACTGCACTTCTTCTGAATCAAATTCAGCAGCCACTTCTCATCATATTTTATACCAAAGGGAATCTAGGAACCAGAGAACAAATGGGAAAGAGAATGGATACAAAGACCCATAACATAAGACCCAACTGTGTCTTGATTATCATTTTTAAAGTTAGGACAATATCTGTTATCTTAACTTTTTTTTTTTTTACCAGACATGGATTTTCTATATAACTTTCTTTTCATTCAAACACTCTTCCTGAATAAGTTGACTTAATATGTTTCACATGTAGTTCCTTTTATTAATTTCCAAGAGATCCATATGAGGTAGACTTGGCCTGTCACTCTGACACGGACCCGAGAGACTCAACCTCTTCCCACACCCAGCTTGAGCCAAACACATGATCTGGTGTGAAGTGTTCCATCTCCTTGGCAGTAGGTTTCCTCTTTTGCTTTTAGTCAACCTTTCCCATGCTCCTCCTTGCAGGCAATCTGTTTCCTTTCTATTGCTTCTCTGAACTCACCCTTAGATAATCTAGGAAGATAGCTCCTAGTAAGAACAAGACAGATTGCCAACACCACTGCCCCAGAAAAATTCCCAGCATCTCTACACAAATCCAACCTGACTCTCTCTATCGTCTTCTACATATTAGGTCCATTTAGCCAAGATACTCACTATGATCTTGAACCAGCTCCCCAATGTCTCATCCTGTCTGTTTCTCCCCATTCTTTTTTCTGGAGGCTTTTGTTTTGTCTCCATGTAAATATGCATTTGGTCTTGTTTCTGAAAACTACTTCTCCAATGATGGGATGGAAGTTCACAGCGAGCACTGTGGGGAAGTGGAGAGAAGAAAGTGGTCCATATAGGCTTGGAAAGTCTTCTCTACATTTTCCCACATCATACCAGAGCTACAATGATTATTGCTCAAGCATTAACCTCATCAAGTATTCCTCAATCTTTCAAGTTGGATAGAGAAATGACTGATTTAACTACAAGACTTTGTTGTTCACTGGTTGGTACATGTCAGCCATGGTGACTGGTCACTTACTATCTTGCTTGGTTGTCCATACAAGCATCACTTTCTTCTGAATCTCTATCTTGCTGCTGCTGGGAAATGACCTGTTCAGACCAATAGGTGTATCGCCTTCGGTAAACACCCCAGCTTGGTGCTCTTCTTTGTAAAGGGTTCACTTTATTGGTGTGCTCTAAAATTGACAACAACATATCAGTGGTCCCAGTACCAGAAGAAGTCCTCAGTAAATATCATGGCTAAAGAAAAATTATCACTGACTTTGTGATAAACAGAAATGCATCTCATGCTAAAAAAAAAAAAAAGGTAGCAGACTTCACTCTGGCTCCACTTTTCAGGAAATGAGAGGTAGGGAGCAGTCACAGCCAAGAGGAAAACAGGCACTGAGGTCTGGATCTAGAGTAGTCTGTGATGTTAGACTTTGATCTACTTGGTTCAGGCTAAGTGACCTGGGACAAGTGGCATTTCATCCCCAAGTCTCAGTTCTCTGCTCTGCTCTAGGGGGACATTAAAACATACTCTTAAATCTACCATAGTGTGATAGTTCAAAGGTCAAAGGTGATCTGCATCCCTGAAGGAAAAATTAGAGAAATGAATGATAAGTCTGATGAAAAGATCCAGAATGGAGTCTGGAGAGATATAATATGGAGAATATCAAAAGAGAAGTGTAGAGAATTACAGGTGATGAAAGGAGTATACCTAATACACAGTTAATGTGAGTGCCAGAGAGGAGGAGAGGAAGACAGTGGAGAAATGGTAGCTGATGAGAACTTGGTTGAAAAGTTTCCAAAAGTAGTAAGATATCAACAGAAGATAACAATATTAATCAGATTAAAAGTATTTTTTAAGGAAAAATATTTTTAAAAGAAACTGTGTTCATTTCATCATCATGCAACAATATCTCAGAAAATTTGTGGTCAAAAGATTCAAACTAAAAGAAAATTTATATGTTATTTTTCAGGCAGAAGAAATAACTTCCCAGGTGGAGTCACATAGATACAGGAAAGAAAGCCTAATGCTATCTGTGAATGTGTGAGCAACTTTAAATGAGTACTGACTATATAACACAGTGATACTAATTTCTTATGGGAATTTAAATATAGGGAGAATGAAAATGTGTGACAATATGTTTGGAGGCAGTATTCAGAATCAAAGTGTCTCAAGGTCCCATAATTCTCCCAGAAGTTTTAAAGAACTAATTAGCTAATATTAGACTATGAAATAGCAAAAATATCCATTGTAATCCGATGGATAACTACTACAAGAATGGCAAAAGAATGTTTAACAATCTAGCCACATGTGGTAATAATTTCATAGTTATAAAATATTAATCATTTCAAAGGAATTTAGAAGAGGAAAATATATATGTACATATACATTAATATGACATATGTAAACCAAATTACATCTTTTTTACATTAAAAGGTTCAGACTAAATATTACTTAAAAAAAATAACCCAAAGCAACAAACAGACAAAAGGCTGTTATCAGATGGGAGAAGAAACCTTCCATCAAATACTCTTGAAAAGAGACACATGCAAAATTTAATCATCTAGAAAATTTGAAAATTAAAAATGGCAAAATGTATACCTTTTCCACATGAACCTACAGAAAGATGGTGTAACCATATTATATCAGAAGAAAATGTAGACTTTAAGAAAAAAAAAGACATTACAAGAGAAAGAGATTTTCTTATGCTAACAGAGACAATGCTGTAAGAAGATATTAACACAAAATTCTAAATGCATGCCTTAATTCAAAACCAAAATATTGAAAACTAGTACTGACAGAAACAGAGAATGGACAAAACAAAAGTCACAGTGGGAAACTGTAACACAGCTCACCTAGTGACAAATGAAGTGGCAAATTAAAAAAAAACTAAGCTAGATGGTGAAGATTTTTAAATATGACAAATATACTAACAAATTAATTTAATTGATATAGAACCACCCACATACATAGGAACTCAGATGGAATGTTGCAGAATCAATCATATACTGGAAAATAAAGCAAGCTTCAAGAAATGTCTATGGACTAATACAATTTACCCTAGCTAGATAATAGAAGATTCTATTAGAAGATTCTATTCTTCTAATAGAAGTAGTAATGGTGGATTTTCTTACTCTTCCACCTCTATTATTAATCCAAAGAATGGAAGTTTCTGTGAACCCCACCCCTCACCTAGGTTACCATCCCCCCTCTCCAAGCCCTAAGCTACATGACTCAGGTTTTTTCCTTAAATAGGGGGAAAAATCCATACAATGGGATATTTTCCATGTGGGATGAAGATGGGTGCCCGAGCCCATGTGGCCCATTTCCTCAGAGTAGAAATTAATCAGCCTTGGCCCTCTCCCCGCTTTCTCTATAGGAGGGTCAGCTGGTTGGGGTCCTGTGGGTTGGAGTGGGGTAGGGAACCCAGAACTCTTCCTGCTCTGTGACAATCTAAAGAGAAGGTCTCACACAGACCAACTCACCCATGGGATGGCCTGAAAGCAGAGATCTGTCACCACTGTCCTCACAGGCTGCTCTAGAAGGGACTGTGTGGGTCTGGAGCTGGAGGTTTGGAGACTATCAAGGAATGCTGGCAAGCAAGAAGACAGCAGGCCCCAAACTCTCAGGGTCAGGAAAGATGGAGTCCTTACAGGAAGTCCCTTCCCCAAGGGCATAAAGGAGGAGAGCCCTGGGAGTCAGAGGAGACTAAACTTCCTGTAATTACTGCCCTATGAGTTTGCTAACAGCCTAACATCCAGGGAACTCTTTCCAACAGTACCTCCCCTTCAGAGGAGGCCAACTAGAATCAGGAGGCTTAGGGGATCTTGATACTTAACAGCTACAAACACAGAGAACTCTCTATGCCAGATTCTGCATTAGCTACATTACATTGTGTTACTTCATTCTGCAGACCCAGAGAACTGGGAGGGCCAGCAGTAGGAAACTCTCTGTCCTTGCTACATTGCATCTGTTCTTTCATGTATTCCTCACAAGGGGACTCTGATACCAGGACCATCGGCTTTCCCAGGTTGCTGAGGCTTACTGAGGTGCTGCACTTGTCTAGGGTCATTCAGATGCTACTTGGAGAAACAGGCTGAAACTGAACTCCACGGAATGGAAGATAACTTGTTGAAGCATAGCTTTACTAAATATTTGGTGCAATATAGGGGGTTTTCTGAAGTTTATGCAAAGTACCCGACCATTCTAAAAATAATCAAATGGCTAAAATTAAATATAACACATTCCAGAGGATCATATGAAAACAACAATAACAACAAACAAACAAACAAAAAAAACCTTGAAAGTATAAAGAAAATACCAAACAGAGTTTGATGGGTCACTGTAATGACAGTGGGGAGGGGGGAAGCTAAAGCGTATCCTTTCCGTTAAAAATATATAATCAGTGTAGGCAGATATCCCCTAGTGCAGTCATCCCCAACCCCTGGGCCACGGAAAAATACCAGTCCCAGGCCTGCTAAGAACAGGATCTCACAGTAGGAGGTGAGCATAGGACTGTCAAGCAAGCAAGAAAAGGTTCATCTGGACCTCCCCACCACTAGATTTACTGTCTGAACCATCCCGCCCTCCCTTAGAGCCAGAACTGTAGCTCTGAAAGCTTCGAATCAGATGGATTTCTAAAGAGAGAAGGAGGGAGAAGCCTGGGCTTCAATTCATGAACCAGAACTTTCTGGAATTTGTAATATCTTCTGGAATTTTCCAATATTTTCTATTGAAAAATATGGATCTCTATGCCCTGAAAGAGGAAGACCAGGGCTGAGAGAGGTGATGAAAACCCAAACAAGATGGTGTGAACATCTGAGGTGAGGGAAAATGTAAGGCAGAAATGCATACGAATACACAGATACAATGTCAAGCCAAAAGATGAAAATTTTGACTTTTTATGAAACATTATCATATGAATATTTTATAACATGTAAATATATGAACTTTTCTGTCAATTAGTTACTAGTTATTTTCAAGTGTTCCTCTTGACAAATTAGCCTAGTTATAAAATTTGAAACATTAAAAATATATTCTTAGAAACTCACATGATTCTGTACTTTACACCTACATGATCATTTCACCATGACTCACAGATACCCTAGACATCAATGTAAAAGGATTTATGCATGTTTTCCTGAAGTGTTTCTCTTCTGGTAAGGTGTGTTTTGTGTATGTGTGTTTTCAGAAGGTGGGGTGGGGAGGGGTGGGGGTGTGATAAGTCACTCAGTTCATATTATCATAATCTTCTAAGTTACTTTTCATTCCAATCCCAAAGAAAGGCAATGCCAAAGAATGCTCAAACTACCACACAAGTGAACTCATCTCACATGCTAGTAAAGGATGCTTAAAGTTCTCCAATCCAGGCTTCAGCAATACGTGAACCGTGAACTTCCAGATGTTCAAGCTGGTTTTAGAAAAGGCAGAGGAACCAGAGATCAAATTGCCAATATCCGCTGGATCATCGAAAAAGCAAGAGAGTTCCAGGAAAATATCTACTTCTGCTTTATTGACTATGCCAAAGCCTTCGACTATGTGGATCACAATAAACTGTGGAAAATTCTGAAGGAGATGGGAATACAAGACCACCTGACCTGCCTCTTGAGAAACCTGTATGCAGGTCAGGAAGCAACAGTTAGAACTGGACATGGAACAACAGACTGGTTCCAAATAGGAAAAGGAGTATGACAAGGTTGTATATCGTCACCCTGCTTATTTAACTTCTATGCAGAGTACATCATGAGAAACACTGGACTGGAGGAAGCACAGGCTGGAATCAAGATTAACAGGAAAAATATCAGTAAACTCAGATATGCAGATGATACCAGCCTTATGGCAGAAAGTGAAGAAGAACTAAAGAGCCTCTTGATGAAAGTGAAAGAGGAGAGTGAAAAAGTTGTCTTAAAGCTTAACATTCAGAAAACTAAGATCATGGCATCTGGTCCCATCACTTCATGGCAAATAGATGGGGAAACAGTGGCTGACTTTATTTTTCTGGGCTCCAAAATCACTGCAGATGGCGATTGCAGCCATGAAATTAAAAGACGCTTACTCCTTGGAAGGAAAGTTATGACCAACCTAGACAGCATATTAAAAAGCAGAGACATTACTTTGCCAACAAAGGTCCATCTAGTCAAAGGCTATGGTTTTTCCAGTGGTCATATATGGATGTGAGAGTTGAACTATAAAGAAAGCTGAGCAC